TTACAAATACCACAGAAAATCATTATACCGGATTCAAATCCAACAATCACATCGAAAACCACATCAGAAGTCCAATCACATACACAGAATCGATCAAACCTTTTAAACACAATAATATTCCGCGGCTGCACCTGGTGAGACCCCAGGCTGCCTACGTACCCTTGGGCAAGGGATCAAGCCACACGTAGTTCTCATGTCAACAGTCACAATTCCGATAATAAACAATTATTTACAACAGAACCAACTATACATTTCAGATTCATCACAACTCAAATTCCGACAAAACACAATGAACACATTCTCAATCTCTTTCTTTAATATCAGTTCAACCCCACAACCATACCCATATATCCCAGTGTCCATATCCACTGTTTCCAAGTATCATCATCAAGGGGGAGGTACGTATGATGGTGGAGTTCGTAATCCTTATATAAATATTATAAAGTAATATTCCCTTCCTTAATCCAATTTTTCCCAAGGCATCGTATTAAAAAGACATCCGAAGGGCCTGGACAAACTCCGACGGGCCTGGGCAAAACAAATCTCCAAAGGGCCTGGGCAAACTCCGACGGGTCTGGGCAAAATAACTCAATAAATCTCCGAAGGGCCTGGACAAACTCCGACGGGCCTGGGCAAAATAACTCAATAAATCTCCGAGGGGCCTAGACAAACTGCGACGGGCCTGGGCAAAATAACTCAATAAATCTCCGAGGGGCCTGGACAAACTCCGACGGGCCTAGGCAAAATAAATCAATAAATCTCCGAGGGGCCTGGACAAACTCCGACGGGACTGGACAAAATAAATCTCAAACATAAAACCCATAATCGGGGAAATACCTAAAATAGTGCCTTCTCAACTATTATATATATAAACTCAAGACACTCCAAAAAGTCGAAACCCATATATATTGCAACTACTTGACAAAAATAAAGGATTCCACTATTAAATATAAACAGAATTTAAATAAACTATTAAATTCAAAAGCATAAGATTTCCATCACAAAACCATAAAAATAATCTCATAGACCCACATAAATCATGTGACGGTCAAGACTCGTCCAAAAGGGTCGTTCTAGTACTTTCGAAGAGTAAACTACCTCGGAAGATTTAGGGTCAACCGAGGGTACAACCTTTCAAATTTGGTCAACCGGCCCCGTAGGCCCCACGACCCCCATTTTATGATCCGAAAGTTCCTATGGGTTCCACAAAGTCTAGGATACACGTCCTACAAGTTTGGTCCAGATCGGATGGCCGGATCGCTCCCGATCGCACGATCAGACGGTTACTGAAATCCTAGCCCTAGGGTGGGCATTTCCGGAGTATCCGGGACTCCGTTTCACGATCCGTCGAATCCTACATAATCCTAAGGATGCCCAGGTTAACATATAATAAATTCAAGACCATCCAACGGTCCCAACCTGTCGAACCCGGATAATGCGTAATAGGCGATATCCGTTCGAGACTCATACGGTATCCAAATTGAGGTTCGTAAAATCCTACACGTTCGTGAGGACCAGGGGATCGCACTTGGGACTTACTACCCCTCTGCTACAGTGCCCATGCGCAGCCACACGCGCTGGCAGCGCGTGGGTGTCCAAAGCGATATTGCATCGCCGAAAAATCTCAAAATCTCGGGCCAAGACTCCTACCCTAGGTAATACTCCTAATTTGGAGTCACTTTTGTTCTTGGACATACCCCAAAAAGTCGACGGAAGTGGCTGAAAACGGAGGTTGAAACCGGCAGATTTTTCAATTGCTTATTTAACTATCACAACGCAGAAATTGCTCAATTCCTATCCAACCATCAGCTAGAGCATGAAAAATAGGTGGAAAAGCATACCTTAATCGACCGGTTTGGTGGCCGGAGGAGGGAGAAATCGCCGGCGAAAACTCTGTCAAAAACTGGGTCGAAACCGATCGGATTTTTGCATTTTCCGGCCATCTCCGGTGGTTCCAGCGGCAGAGATTAGTCGGGATAGGAAGAGGGAAGTGAGCTTGACGTTTTGGTACTAATATCATGCGATTTGGTGGTCGGTGGAGGTGGTGGCGAAGCAAAAACTGTTCGGATGAACAGTAACAGCTCCAATGGGAGCTGGTTCTGCGCGCAGGAGAGAGAGAGAGATAAATGAGGGCATTTCTGTCTTTTTAACAAAATTCAAACTTCAACTTATTTACGATTATGCCACTGAGGGTTTTTAGATCGTAAC